CTTAGCATGGGAATCACACTGGTTATAGGAAGTGTTTCTTAGAAAAATCTTCTAAATTCTGATTATCTCATAAGATGCATAATTAGTGTAACGCCCCAAAAACCCCCGTGGGTGACATTACAATCTAAAAACCATTTACCGTATGAGAGCATTAAGTAAAATTCATCACGACGAAAGTTTCATTCATCAACCATTCATATTTTAACAAAATTTGGGCAGAGTCTCCTTTGTACGGGGAGCTCTACCCAAAACACAACATGTACAATTATATTACAATTGACCACACCGGGTCCACATATGCATAACTATTGACCACACCGGGTCCATTTTTCCATCATAAAATAAACTTGCATTCATCATATGTCATATCCACACTATCATCCCAAATTAATAGGTCTAATCTTGGCCTTTACATCTCCAAAATGTAATAATATAACGCAGCGGAAATAACAGAAATGAACTAGAGTTCAAAAGGATATTCTAAGCATAATCTAGTCTAGAACAAAATAAAAGTGTCGCTCTAAGCGTCCACCTCGGGATCCACATCCCCGTCAAGCGGAGTCTTCCAATGGGTGGGCTCCTCGGCTCCTAACTCCTCCTCAAGTGTGAAATCTGAAAANTTAGGAATTGCTTCCAAAACTCCACAATATGGAGAAACTTAAAAAGAAGAAATAGCTTCTTACAGTCTAAAAAGAGTGCCTCCTCATGATCTTTAGAACAAAACTACAAAGTGTAGCCTGGACAGGCAAATAAAGCTTGAGCTTAAAATTTAATCCTTCTTTCATAAGCATGGACATGGACAAGGGTGACAGACATGACACAAAACCCAACATGAAAAATCTTCAAGTAGGAGACAGACACGGAAAGAACATGGAACAAACATTGCAACCATTGCTTAGCATGGGAATCACACTGGTTATAGGAAGTGTTTCTTAGAAAAATCTTCTAGATTCTGATTATCTCATCAGATGCATAATCAGCTATTTGTTGCGCCTAAGCAAGCACCCCTAATGTACCTGCTAGCAGATTCCTGAATCATAAAGAAAGAGGACAAGATTAGTTAGAATTCTATATCAATATGCTACTTGGACCACATCATCTGACCCAAGTCTTTGAATTAATCCATTAATGTCCTTGAACTAACAGTTGATCTCATCCAATATTAACACCTTTTAGATAAGCAATTCAACAAAGTTATGACCTTACTTACACCTCAATCAGTGCACTTCCATAGTCATATACATATAGAGAGAGCACAAATTATCTTTAAAACTTACTGGGTGCCTCTGGGACCCATCATTCTCAAACACCATAGCTGCTTTTGTTTCCAACACTTTTCTTATCCTCCCAGTTTCTTCCACCTATACCAAGGCAAAGTTTTAGATGTTGATTACAAAAGGCCGCTGTAAACAAAAGATGATTTCAAAGAAAATGATTTCATATGCTATTTAAAACAAATAAAGCAACCTTTTTTTGTTCTTTTTTCCTCCTTTGACAAATGATTATATTTTCTTAAAAAAAAACTATTTGTCTTCTGCAACTAAAAATGTTGTGTGTTTTGAGAGAGAGGGGGCAAAAAAGATAAATTCACATTCCCACAAATAAATGAGAGATTCAATCTAACAATCTGAAATTCATAGTTCTTTAAAAAAATGTGTGAAATTAGTATTAGAACATACCATTGCATTTGGACCTACAGAAAGAGGTATCATTTGCTGCTTCTTCCTCTTCTTGTTTCTATTTCCTCTCTTGCTCTTCTTCCTCATTCTTGCCCTGAAAGCCAACATCGCAGTGAGCTGTGGGAAGCTGCTAAAATCCGCCAACATTTTGCGTTCTTTGGATTTAGTCCTATATACATACTCCTCTTTAACCCCACCACCACCATTCGATATAACAGTGGTGAACAACTTTCCCTCATTCTGATCTTCTTTTGCCTTTCTGTTCTCTCTCTCTGATCCATTATTCTAATCATTTTTCACAGCTTCATCACAACTGCTATCCAGTGAAATCACTCGTATTTCAGATTTTGAGTTCTCATTTGCTGCCATTTTCTTTGGTTCCTCTATAACCCAACAACCAATATTTGATATAATGTTGTTCAACACTTTGTCCTCTTCCTATTCTTCTTCTTCTCTAAATTCTCTCTCCAATCCTTTGTTCTGATCATTTATCAAATTAGAATTATACTCATTACTGCATGAGAACATATCGTGCCCAGAATCGCCACATCTTAAACAGATAACTAAACTTTGATCCTCTGCTACATATTTCTCTGGAAAATCTTTAGTGAGGTAGCCTTGTCCATTGTAGATATGTAGTTCATACTGCCGCTATAAGACCCTAAACACCCAAAAAAAGAATAAGAGGAAATGTGAATGAAATCCCACATGGAAAACTGCAGAAAGTAACATACCTTCTTCATTCCTAATTTCTTTGAACCTTTAAGGAAAGAACATTTGCAATGTTATTCTTTGTCAATTTTAAACCTTACATACACCTCAATCAATGAGAGATTCAATGTTACAATCTAGAATTCATAGTCAGCAAAAATAATGCCTGAAATATTAGTATCAGAACATACCATTGCATTTGAACCTACAGATTCAATCTTTTGCTGCTTCTTCCTCCTCTTGTTTCTGTTTCTTTTCCCTCTTGTTTTTGTTTCTTCTCCTGCTCTTCTTCCTCATTCTTGCTTCGAAAGCCAACATCATAGTGACCTATGCAAAACTGCTCAAATTCGCCAGCATTTTGCGCTCTTCGGCTTTGGTCCTATATACATATTCCTCTTTAACCCCACCACCACCATTTGATATACCGGTGTTGAACACCTTACCCTAGTTCTGTTCTTCTTGTTCTGCTTCTCTGCTCTTCTTCTACTTCTCTGCTTTCTCTTAAATCCTTCATGTCAAACATTTTTCATAGCTTCATCTTCACAGCTATCCAATGAAATCACTTGTATATCAATTTTTGAGTGAAATCACTAAACTACAAACAATTTTAATTTATTTTTTCGTTATTCCGTGTCTAAAGACACGAGCAATTAGACACAAGCAATTACTAGTATAATAATATGAATGAACAAATTAATTACCAACAAATGCATAACAAAATTTTAGGTTTTTTCAAAATCTAAAACACCCAAACTATAACATCTATTCAAACTATAACAAAACTTATCAAACTTATTTAAAAAAATATAACATTCAAAACACCAATTGGTTAAGTTGTGGGGGGCAGGTTGCACAGAACGGAAAAGGGGGAAAAGGTCTGCGTAAGAGGGGAGTTTGGGTGGGGGAGGTGTTCTGTGTGTGTTCTTGGGGGTGGGTTGCGCTTTTCCAGAGGGTGAAGAGGGGAGGTCTGTGCAGAAGGATAGCTTTGAGGGGAGGTGGGTTTGTGTCTGAGTGTGTGTATTGAAAATAGGGACTGGAAAAGGAGGGTTTGTGCATGTGGGTTTCAAGTAGAGGATGCAGAGAGGGGAGGAGAGAGAAATACCTTGAAGA